CTTTCATCACTAAGGTGAGTGAAGCAGGAGGATATGGAAAAAGAGTCAAATACTGAAGTGTGAGGAGTAGACCTCCAAATGGCTCAAGTTTTTTTTGTCAAAGGTGTCGTCCTTTACATTCAGTGACAGACACTTAGGTCAGAGGGGCAGGAGAAGGAAGTCGGCCACACGCTGGTGGATCCACAAACATGGAGACCAGCTTGTTGGCAGAACTCTTCCACAGTGAGAGGGCTCCGACCCATGCAGGCAGGAGCACGGCTTCCTGGTCGGTGCGCCCTGCTGCTTTCCTTCTGGAACACTAACTCTCATGAAAGGCAGGATACATGCACGTTACAACTCGTCTTCGAGATGTTTCTGCTGGTAGGCATCACCCGTCAGTCTTTCCTGAGCTTCCTTCATCCCCTGAACAACTGTGAAGTAAAGGTTGGGGGGCAAAGTATGAAGCAGAGCTTTAATATTTGACATCTGAGAACCAATATAGATTTTCATGTTTTAGGAGTAATATGAGAGGAGCATGGGATCTGGAGTCAAAATCTATCTCTGGACTTTAGCCTGGGGATGTCATTTCACCCCTGCAAATTTGTTTTGTGCTACAAAAATGTTGGTAGTTCCTTTGCTTTCCCTCCAAGATCAGAGTTGAAGCCGTCATAGACTGAACATGTTCACTTGACACTAGGGACAGAAAACATCTGCCTACCATCCCCATTATATCTTTTGGATGAATGTTATATTCATTTCCTTTCCTGTCAAGGTTACAGTTACACCGATGTGTGAGTACGTGTGTGTGCTGTGAGGGGAGATGGTCTTCGCTGAAGGAGGTGGTCATTTCTAGTATCAATTACATATGGTGGAAGCCAAGTTCTCAGGCAAAAGAGAAACCTGGAAAGAAGGCCCTGGACAGATGAGAGATGGAACTTCTTGTCTCTCTCAGGGTGTCATCTTGTGGATTTAGATTTATTTCAAGGAGGGCAGCTCTTTTGGTACAGGCTCCCTACACAATGGCAGGCCAGGAGTTAAAGTTGAGCCAGTCTGTGAATCTCAGAAAGTAAGCCTATAACCTCGTAAGAGCCAGGTAGTATACAGTTTATTACTTACTTTCTGTTTTGCCTAAGTCTTTAGGAAAAACAGGTTCCGGGGTCCCAGCGTCATGTTAGCTGAGCCATGTGGGATTCAGGCAAAGGTCTGTGTCCACATTTAGACTAACGTGTTAAAGGATGATGCCAAGGTAAAGATGGCAGTAGTAACACAGATGAAATTCTGAAGGAAAGGGGAATTTCCAGAGTCAAGATCTGGGGACCTAAAGTCCTGCTCTTCTCCATGTGGGAAACTTCCTTTCATACCAACCTCCAGTAATCTGCGTTTGGGTAAGGGAGATGTGATGGTGCGGCTAGCCTCTCCAGATCTCTCTCCTCTCAATCTGAGAAATAAGAGTCTCAAGGACTCAAAACATAAAGTGATCGACAACCTGGTAGCATGGTAATGAGGACACATGGCAACTTAACAAAGAAGCCCCTTTTACATACAGTAGGGGCAACTTCAGAAGGAAAACAGTGACAGCACATGGCATGTATTCCAACCCCTACCTCTAGAGTGACAGCTCAAGAATTAGGGGGGAAAAAGCATGACTGCCTCATGACTTCAACCTTCTTCACTTGTCTGTGCTGATGCTGTTCTTCCTGGAACATGCTTTTTGCTTTTCCTGCTGGTTAGCCTCACTCTTCAGTCAGTCATCGTCTCCTCTAGCAAGCCTTCTGGACTCTCCATGTCGGGCAACCACCACTCCCACTTCCATAGCCTGAAATTTCCTTCGCCTATCTGTCCATAGAGGCAAATTCTTATCCTTCTAGGTCCAGTTAAAGTTTACTATCTATAAAAACTTTAAGACTTGCCCTGGCTGGTGTGGCTCAGTGGACTGAGCGCTGACCTGCCAACTAAAGGGTTACCAGTTCAATTCCCAGTCAGGGCACATGCCTGGGTTGTGGGCCAGGTTCCCAGTGAGGAGCGCATGAGAGGCAACTACACATTGATGTTTCACTCCCTTTCTCCCTCCCTTCCCTTCTCTAAAAAGAAATAAAATCTTTAAAAAAAAACCCAACTTTTAGACTTGAGCAGCTAACAGTTACCATACTCCTGCTTTGAAGTCTTACAAGAGTAGTATTAATGCAGAGGAAAAAAAAACTATGTTCTGGACTGAAATCCTGGCTCTGTGATGTATCCACTATGACACCACAGACAAGTGACTATCTCTGTGAGCCTCAGGTCTTCAGTTCCATGTGGATCAGTTTGCTCCCAAGTGAACTGTAAATAGTTTGGGAAGGAGGTAAGACTAACTTTTCTCCTATATTCTACGCAGGATCTAGCCAAAAGCTAGTCCTGCAGGAGATGCTCAGCTAACATTTTGAATTGAGTTTCCCATCATAGACTTTGTATGTTAAATTCATTAGCAACCTTCCCTCCTCTCTTTCAACATAACCATACCTTGCTCAGCACTGATGTAGAAATATTTGTAGCTGGGGTTTCCATTCTCATTGATAATTTCAGGACGCACCTTGCCACTGGGATCTATTGTAGACAAAATGGCACACGGGTTGCAGTAATTACCAGAGGTACTTCAAACTCTCTATAGCACACTACGCTCTCTGGGGAATGAGACATTCCCACCTTTGCAGGCCATTATCTCACCACCCTACTCCCTGTTTTATGTTGCAATCACAATGAACTTGCAGTTTCCTGAATGCAACACCCCCCCTCCATGTCTTGGCGTGTGCTGATCCTGCTATGTTCCTTTTCTGTTTAATAATGATGAAATTCTGTATTTTTATTTGTATCCTCCATAGAGTCTAGCAGAATGCTGAGTAAAGATCAGGTAGTCATTAAGTATCTTTTATAAAATTGTTCCCAGTAAGATATCTGTCTGGTCACAGTATTCTATTGCCTTTGCTGCACTATGGTCTCAAGGGTAGGAATAAAGGCTTAGCTGTATTCTTATAATGCCTCAAATAATGCTGGACTTACAGCTGATGCACAAATTATTGTTGAATGAATAAACAGATTGATTGATACTCTGTTACAAAGGATTAGTTCATGGGAAGAGCTTTCCTTCAGACTTGGGAGTTCTGGAACTCCCCTCAGAACTCCCCTCACTCTCTCTCGAAACTGGTTGTTGCATGCTTTCGTTTTTAGCCATTCCAGTGTGGGTTCACTGGGTGGGGCAGTGCTTTGACTCATTTCTCTCTCCTTCCAAGTCATGGATCCCCACATTAAGATCTTTCGCCTTACCCAGGAAAAGAATTCGTGGAATATAACCCCCATCAGGGCTGAAGTCTTCATCCTTGGGCTCCTCTTCATCCTATGAAGTGTAAACCTCAAGTCAGATCACGTCTCCACTCTCCTCACATTGTTTTCAGTGGTTTCTCCTCTCACTCAGCGTAAAGTCCCCAAGTCCTTGCTTGCCGTGGTCTGAGAGGCCCCATGTGAGCTGCCACCTGGGCACTTCTCTAACTTCATGTCCTACCCCTTGTTCAGCCTATTTCCAGCACAACAACCTGCTGGCTGTTGTCATTAAATAAGCCCGGCATGCTCCTGACTCAGGCTTTTGTACTTGTTTTTACCCTCTGCCTGGACATACTTCCCCCACTGTCCTTACAGCTCACTCCCTTTTCTGCTTCAACTCTTTGCTCAAACATTACCTTCTTTGAAAACTATCTTTGCCAACTACCGCCCCTGCCCTTCATCTTTAGCCATAGCATTTACCACCGTCTGATGTCTGTTTGTCTCCCCATATTCAAGTCCCCATGAGTAATTTCAATGAGGGCAGAGTTCTGTTTTGTACTTTGCTGATTCCCCAAACATCACTGACTTGCACATAGTATTTCTCGAGTGCATGAATTTATGAGACTGATGTTTTAGCTACAGTTGTGAAGTTATAGCTCTCCCAGGAGACACGATCACACAATTAGCTTTCTTTTTAAACATCTCCAAAGTTGGAGACTGATCACTAAAGACATTTCTGTTTCCCTTGAGAAGTGATTCTAACTTGCCACAGAAAGTGACAATGAGTTCATATGCACAGGAATCAAGAGTAATTCTGTCACTTATGGTGTGGTCCCTATTTTAGAAACTAAATGGAGTCATTTCTTCAGATAACGCAACTTTGCCTTGAGTGAGGTGTATCAGTATTCAGGCTACCCACCGGTTATAAAATAATCCCTTAGCTGTCTTGACTTTTAGCTGTTAATGTGGTTAGAAAACTTCTAGTACTATGTTTAAGTAAACATTATTCTATAGAAATTTAGGGCTAGAAGTATCATCATAGTGCATCCAGGCATCCCGCATTGGAAGGGTACAGCTTACAAGGCAGCACAGCCAGGCCACAGTACCTACTCTTATCACTTATTAGGCTCTACAATCCTGACTAAGTCACCTCCTTCAGGCCTAAGATGCTTTCTGTAAAATGGAAACAGTACAAATGGCCTAAAAAGCCCTTCTAACTTGAAGATCTGATACGCTGATTTGGAAATCTAAGACCTGTAGTCTATGTAAAGTACATGAAGGATATCTAATAAATAAACAAAAAGGATGTCCATACATGCCCAGGACAGAGGAGGCTTTCAACTGAATCACATTTTGCAGGAACCTGCAGCCTGCATGTGTGACTTTACCTTTAGATCAACTACACAACGATGTAAAAACATGTCATAATCATAGACTAAGAATGAAGAAACCTTACAATTCAATCATCTTATCCAATCCCACTGATCCTAGCTCCTCCCACAAGTGGAGGCTGATGGCTTTCTACTGTATCTGATACAAGCCTAAGAGTCAAATGTCAAACACATACATATTCAGCTCTGCTAAATAAGATCTTATATCATTAATAATGGTAATTCTACAACAGTAAAAACTTAATATTATAACAGAAAGGAGAAACTCTAGAAGTCTTACCTCAAGATTTACCATAACAAAATTATGAGAAAGCTCTGAAATTTCTTTAGACTCTGCAAATTTGGGCTTTAAAGCTAGGAGAAAAAAAAGATTTTGTAATAAAAGAAAACATCATTGTTATCTACATACTAAATGTACTCAACTCTCATTTGCTGAGCTAATTCATAGAACTAACCCTTAAATCAGAACATTTGAATTCTTACTTCTGCCATTTACTTGCATAGCTATGTAACCTTGAGTGACTGACTTCATTTCTCTGAAGTTTTTATCTAATTTATAAAATACAGAAAATGATACACAAATGAAGAATTAACTATTTGCTTTTTTATACATTTCAATAACTTCTATTGAAAAAGGAACAGACAATAGAGTAACAACACCACTAATGTGTATATATATATATATATATATATATATATATATATAATTACACTAATTGTTTTCACTAATTTTATACTCCTTTTCCAACTAGGACTAAAGTATAGCATAACCAAAGAAATAAGTCTGACTGAAAAGTGGCAGGGTAATATAGTAGAAAAAATACATGCTAAAAAGTAAGATAACCTTGGGATCTAATTTGCTTAAGTCCTCCAGGAAGACTTTCCTAAACTTCTCACGTCTCTCTCTGTATGTCTGCTTCCTCTGACATTTACTGTCCACGTGACTATTGTAGCACTAATCTTATACTCTATTATCTTCACTGCCTCACCTTCCAACCCCCTGCAAATACAACTGCAAATTTCTTGGGGGCAGGGAATCTGTCAAATACTTCTTTGGTATTCCTTAAAGGAATCAGCAGTCACCGGGCCAAAGTCACTGCTCATATTTTTAAAATGCTAGTATTTGAGAACACATCTGAGGTTTGATCATTTGCACTTACCTTTGCAAGCTCCACACCAGGACTTATGGATAATTACCATCAGGGGCAATCCACTTAAAAACAAAATGAAGAAATCATAATCTAGCAATTCCACTTTTTAAAAAGATTTTATTTACTTATTTTTTAGAGAGGGGAAAGGAGAAAGAGGGAAACATCAGTGTGTGGTTGCCTCTCTTGCGCCCCCTACTAGAGACCTGATCAGCAACCCAGGCCTGTGCCCTACACTGGGAATCACAGTCTAGACCCTTTGATTTGCAGGCTGACACTTAACCACAGAGCCACACCAACCAGCCAGGGTGCAATTCCACTTCTTCATAGCTATCCTCTAATAAAAATGACCAACTTATTAAGATTAATGGACAAAGACATTCATGTAGTATAATTTCAATTGGGAGAATTTCAAGACAACCTTCTCAGTAACATTGTAACAAAATTACTGATAAATTCAGACATTCCTGTAACCTTGTAAATTTGGGCTTTAAAGCTAGGGAGAGTCCTGACTGGTGTGGCTCCCTGGGTTAGGGCACTTGCCTGGGTTGTGGGCCTGGTCCCCAGCTGGGGGAGTGTGAGAGGCAACCAATCAATGTTTCTCTAGCACATCGATGTTTCCCTCTCTCTGTACTTCCCTTCCCCTCTCTGTAAAAATAAATAACTAAAATCTTTAAAAAAGGAAAAAAAGGTAGGGAGAAAAGACTGTAGAAGAAAACATCAAATTTAAATGTTAAGGTTATATAATCATTGAAAATGTTAATGAAAATTTTCACTGGTATGTTAAATTAAAATCCAGAATATGAAATTATCTGTAGTTTGGTATTAATTATACAAATATGTCCAGAACCCAAAGGAAATGTACCAAAACATAACAGCAGCTATCCCTGGATAGTGGGATTGTAGGTTTTACCATATCTTCAATTTTTCTACAATTAAATGCAATTTTTATAATCAGGAAAGAAAAGTAGCTTTTTTAAAAAGATAATGAGTAACATAATTCATCTGAACCAGTCTTGGTCAGTTGAAAGTCTAAGTTGCAAGGCTCAAATGACAACCTGCAGGAGGGTCCTAGGTAAGCCGCCTTCATCCAGCCACCATATCAGGAAACCATCACACACAGTGCAACACTACTGAACTGTACTCGTGTTTATTATGTCTACATACCTTACCCACCAGATTTGGAGCTGTCTTAAGGAACTCAGCTGTTTCTACATCCCCTACATCTGGCATATAAAATCATAGCAAACACATATATAACATTTACTATGTACTGGACACTATTCTAAATATACGTAAGCTAATTTAATAAGTGTCAAATGAATTATTCAGCTCATCAGAAGCCCACTACAAATCTGGGATGGATTTCTGCCTCTAATACTTGAAAAGCTTATAAAACAAATGAGCAGGGCAAGCTTAAGTAAGAAGTGGGATCTAAGTGACTATAATAGCCAAAATGCTACTTTTATTATACAACACTGTGCTATGTGCTTTGTATGCATTATTTCATTTAAATCTCTATAATAATCCTAAAATAGATATTACTAACAGCTTCATAACAGATATGAGAAAACTGAGACTCCCAAGAGATTATATATTTGGCCACATAAAATCTAGGTTCTGAAATTTACTAATTCCTAAGTCTGACTTCAAAACCGTTCTTTCTGTCCAGCATAGTCTACTTTAAATTAGAATGGCAATCCAAAATTCATGGGTTTATACTCAACTTAACTAATAATTAACTTAGAATCAGAGAATGCAGGTTGGTAAAAGATTTAGAGCTTTCTTAGTCCAAACCTCCATTTCACACAGGAATCCTCTCTCATGTATCAGAAACAAAATGTAGTCCACATTGTGTGAAAAGCAAGAAATACATCACCAACCAAAGCAGCCCATCTTTTTAACAGCTCCACACACTTACAGAGAAGTTCAGAATGTTTTGCTCTCTTCTTTCTCCCAAGCAAACTAGGTTATTAAGGCTATTTAGAAGGCTATTAAGCCTTCTAAAGCAGAGGTCAGCAAATTACAATCGGCACATCTAATCAAGCCCACTGCCTACTCCTGGAGAACTGTGTTACAAATGGTTTTCACATTTTTAAATGGTCAAAACAAGTCTAAAAGAATAGTATTTTGCAATGTTAAAACTAAATATAATTCACATTTCAATGTAGTTTTATTAAAACACACCCACACTCACTTTTTTATACTATCACTGCTTCTGTATTACCATGACAAAGCTGATAAACTGCAACAAAGATGCTATGGTCCACAAAGCCTTTTGGCCCTTTGCTGACCCTTGTTCTAGAGTCAGTTCACATATTAATCCCTCCGTGAAGACTTTGCAAAATGACCTTCTCTCAACAGATAGGTAGTCCTTTCCTCCTCTGGGCTCTCAAAGCATTCTGTGATCACCCTCTAACCACCAAACAGCCCCTTACATCCTATAATCATCTGTTTTCTTGTCTGTTTCCCACCAAATTAACTTCTCAAGGACAACGACTACCTAAATCACCTTTGAAAATTATAAGCATTGGTAAGATAGATATCATTTGTTTAATGAAATCAATGAAAGAGAGACAAGTTTGAAGTGACATCTGTCTTGAAATACAGAATGAAGCACAAGTTACAGAAGTTATAATATAATCACTCACCTCTCACTAAGCACTAAGGGATATTTCAGCCTAAGGCACAACAATCATATATGGGGATGGACAAAAGTAGTTTACAATTGTAATAGAAATAAGTAATACAATAATTAGTAAATAATAATACAAGAATAAACTGTTTCACTTACAAATGTAAACATACTTTTATCCACTCCTGTATACGTATCTAAAATGTTATATTAAATATAATATGGTTAGGTGGCCGAGTTGGTTAGAGCATCGTCCCACACACCAAAAGCTTGCAGGTTCAAGCTCCGGTTGGGGTGCATATAGGAGACAACTGATGCTTCTCCCTCACATTGTTTCTCTCCCTCTCTCCCCATTTCTTTTCCCAAAAAGCATACCCTGGCATGAGAATCAAAGAGTAAATAAATAAATAAATAACATAACATAAATAAAATAAAATGTTACATTAAATAAATTACATGAAGCCCTGGCCAGTGTGGCTCAGCTAATTGGAACATCATCCCCAACACCAAAAGGTTAGAGGTTCAATTCCCGGTCAGGGCACATACCTAAATTGTGCATTCAATCTCTGTTGAGTTGTGTATGGGAGGAAACCAATCGATGTTTTGTCTCTCTAATTAATAAACACTTTAAAAATAAATTTAAAAAATTAATTACATGAAGAACACTGTTACATTAAGTGCAAGCTTCCAGCCAACTCTTCTAAAAAATTTTATTAGACAAAATAATCTAATGGTCATGTCATTCACTTCCACTAGAACCAAAGCTTCCCAAGGGCAGAAACCAGTTTATCTGTGACCCTATAACCCAGCAGTGAAATTAGTGAAAAGTTTAGGTCCAATACTCAAAAATTATTTGTGGTATGAAAGAAGGGCCAATAGATGTAGAACTGTGCCATCTTCAGTTTCCGTTCACAATTGTTTTAAAACAATTAATCCATTCAGTCTGCTCTCCCACAATTCAGATGGAGGAAATCAATGGAGTGTGGATTTCAAACAAGCCCTGTCCATCTGATGAGCTCTGGCCTCTGGAGAAATTTGCCAAGGTCCTTAAGTTTGTTCTCTTTTCTAGTCTCAGAGAATGCCCTAAACTCAAGGCCTGACACAGAGGCATTACGCAAAGGGTCAATCAGTCACAACAGTTCTGGTATCATACATCAATACCCTCTGAAGACTCTGATTATTCTTCCAAAAGAAATACATTGTAGGAGAGGTTAGACAAGTAGCCATCGCTTTCCCCCAACCCACTATGGTTAGTGCAGACTCTGGCTCAGATACTGCAGAAACATGTTGGCCAACTGAGGCAGGTTCTCATTGTTGGGATGCATTTTGGTGTAGGAAATAAACTGGCGTCGGAGGCGACTCAGTTCTGCCATGGTTAAGGGCCGAGTATACCGAAGGTTCTCCGTGGTACCAGGAAGCTTAAGGAAGTCTCCGGGGACTGCAGTCTTCTGAGCTTCCATCAGTCCAGCCAACACCTGGCTCGTGACCTGATCCAATTGGTGCAGAAAGCTGCCAGAGGCAAGGGGCTGAGACTGTGTAGACTGATGAGGTGGAGGAGCCCGGTTCTCAAACAGAGCAGCCCGGATCTCTGCCAGAGGCAATGGCTCCTCTAAGCCCACCAAGGTGAACAGGGGTCTGTCCCAGCGGTTCCGAGAGTCGGGAGCCTCGAAGCGCAGCACTAAGGCTTCCAGAAGTTCCGCGGGGAAAAAGGCACTGGACATATGCTTTGCAGATTTCTCAAAGTCTGGAGTCACGTGAGCTGAAAGATCTGGCGCCCTGGTTTGCTCCAGTTCCTTAGATACCTCTGCCTGGGCTCTTCCATTTACTATCGAGTCCACGGCTCCCGATTCCCTGAGGAAACTGGTGCTCCCTGCCAGAGGTCTCCCCCCTTCTCCAGCGCGCGGCCGCCAACTCACACTGACGTTCTGGCTCCGACCGTCCTCCACGTGGGCCACCCGAGGTCCCCTGTTCAGACTACCTGGCTGTACGCAGTAGATTAAGCACAATGGGGTGCGGGCCGCCCGCGCCAGGCAGTAGAGCTCATAGCGGAAGCCCTTGATGTAGTTAAGCGAGTCCAGGATGACCACGTCGTGACGACTCAAGCGCCGCTCTACTGCGGCGCGCAGGGCCCCACGCAGTGCCTTCTCACGAGCCGAATCGCCGTACACTGTCGCATCCTCCGCGCCCAGGACCGCTGCGTCGTCCACTACGTACACCGCCCGGCCCTCGGCCGCCAGGGCCTGGCGGAGCTCCTCTGCGCGTCTACTCTTGCCGCAGCACGGCAGACCACAAAACACGACAAGCGGCATCCTCCCCTAGGCGCAGCTGTGAGCAACCACTCGCAACAATTTCCGGTTTGTCGGAGTATCCGGCGCAACCCGGAAGTAAAAACAGAACTTCCGGTAAACCACTGTGGCTTAAAGGACTTCAGCTCTGTTGCTATGGAAGCTGTTCTAGCCAATTAGACCCAAGTTTTTTTAATTTTTTTAAAGATTTTATTTTTTTAATCAATTTTTAGACAAAGGGGAAGGGAGAGAGAAAGAGAGGAAGAGAATCATTAATGTGTGGTTGCCTCACACACACCCCCCAAAACTGGGGACCTGGCCCTGCAACCCAGACAAGTGCCCTGGCTGGGAATTGAACCAGCGACCGTGTGGCTCCCAGGCTGGTGCTTAATCCACTGAGCCACACCCACCATGGCTAAACCCAGTTCTTGTTCTCTCAGAAAGGAAATGGGGACGAGAATGGCATCATCTATTTATGTCAAATGTTATAGGCCTCACGGAAATGTTATCAGCCTGCAGTCAAAAACCTGGCCCATTCATTTCTAATGGGGCTTTAATGTGTATTAAATATTGCAGAACAATAGGAACTGTATTTAGCATACAGAAGACAATTCACATGCTAGTTTTCCTTCATTCCTTACACCCAGTGACTCTCAAATGGTTATTGTTTACTCAATAACCATTTCAATCATTCAACATCTCCATGTTAGGAAATTCATAAATGAACATAAAACAGTTCCCCCATAGGAGATCAAGGGTCTGACTGGGAAGAGTCAGGCACCTGTAAGCAGAATAATACATACTATTAATAGATGGTGGATAGATGTACAAAAAGGTTGGGTTGTAACAGTACCGAAAAGGGAAAAAACTGCCCAGAAAAATAGCTGAAGACTTTATCTAGAAATAGTTATTTGATTTAAAACTTTAAAAACTAACAGGAATTTTTCTCCTGGGTAAGGTTGCCAGATAAAATAAAGGATGCCTAGTTAAATTTTAATTTCAGATATACAACACAAAACATTTTTAATACAAGTATGTCTCAAAGATTACAAAGGGAATATTTAAACTGATCATTTGCCTGAAATTAAAATTTAACTGGGCATCTATATATCTATATCTATATATAAAGATTTTATTTATTTATCTTTAGAGGGTAAGAGAAGGAGAGAGGGAGAGAAATTATCAATGTATGGTTGCCTCTTGTGCACCCCCTTGCTGGGAACTGGCCTGCAAGCCAGGCATGTGCCCTAACTGGGAATCGAACAGCAATCTTTTGGTTCACAGGCCTACGCTCAATCCACTGAGTTACACCAGCCAGGGTTAACTGGGCATCTTTTATTTTTATTTGTTAAATCTAGTCATGTAGGTCTGAGACTCTGAACTATAAAGCTGTAGGATCTGTTGTAAGCAAGCACTATAGTTTGCAGAAGTGTGAGTGTTTCTGTGCAAGTGTGTGTATGTATAAAATAGGTGCACATAGACATTGGGTCTTTTTATCTCTCCAGAACACTATAGCAGAGAACATTCAAGTCTTGGCTCGGCCATTTACTAGCTGTGTAAACTATTGCCAAGTTATTTAACCATTCTGTATCTCAATTTCCTCCCCTGTATAACAGTTTTTATTTCACAGATAAAAGTGATCTCAGAGGTTATGAGGATTAAATAAATTAATGCACGCACAGCATATCCCTGCCCTACTCCACCCGTTTCTTCCCCTTTGTATCAGTTTTCTGTGCATAGACTAAACTTACTTGGAACTTAAGACTACTCAGTTTGAGGCTAGTAGGCAACATGGTTTACTGGTTGAGTGCAGGCTTGGAAGCCAGAATGTCTGCGTCTGAATCTTGGTTTGACCACTTACTAGCTGTGTTATCTTGGACAAGTTACTTAAGTGCTCTGAGCCTTAGTTATCTCCAAAATGAAGATAACAACAGTATCCATCTCAGAAGGGTACTTATGAGAATTAAATAAACTAATTCACATGATTCAACATCTGGTACATAGTAAGCACTTAATAGATGTTAGACAGTATTATCATTATTGTTATCAGGCAATACTCAGTTCTTGCACTGCTTTGGCATGACCTTCACTTCAAATTAATGCTAAATTGAAGTCTGAAAAGTGTTTTACCACCATAAATAACCTAAAAACCATATTTTGTACCTGGCAGCTGCTTCTTTCTTCCCATCTTCCAGTGTCCTCCAATGAATATGATCTCCAAAACCTAGAAGGAAGAGTCTTATAAACATTCACACATGAACAAAGAGCAAAGACCCAAGAAAGAAGCATGGCATGTTCACCCATAAAAGGCTTTCCTCTGTCAAGAGCTTGGTGTTCAAGTCCCAACTCCACCACTTTCTAGGTGTATGGGACCATGGACACTCCCATACTTTAAGCTTCACTTTTAAGACCTGTAAAATGGAAAAAATATTGCCTACTCATAGTTTTTAAGGAACTTAAATAATGTCTGCAAAATGCTTTGTAACCTAACACAGAGTATGAAAATAATACTGTAAGAATGAATGAGAATTTTCCACAGAGTAAACATAAAACAGGTCTCCAACAAATCATTAGTAGTCGAAGACAATACAAAAACATGACTTTAGAGTCAGAAAGGCATAGGTATGGACTCTACTTCCTATCAAATATGTGAATTTTGTGAATAAAGTAAGCTCTCCAAGTCCCAGTTTCTTCATCTGTAAAATCAAGATAATAATACTCACCTCCAAGTGTTGGTGTAAGGATTAAATGAGACAATATTTTTAAAGCTATTCTTGTTTTTATTTCCCACACTTTAGCTAGAGTGGTATTTTAAAATCACATCTGTGGTAAGTAAAAACTTTTCAGAGGCTTTCCAATGCCCCAAAAGAAAGGTTAAACTCTTGTAGCAGAACTTACAAAGCCTTTCAGAATATGGCACTTGCCCACCTCTCCAGTCTCACTTTCCATACTTTTCCTAAAATCCTACGCACAAAGCTTCTTTCATTCCTTTAAATGCAGCATGCACTTTCTCTCCTTCAGCTTTCATAATCACTGCCCCTTCTGCCTTTCCTTCTACCCTCACCTCCGATTCATTCTTCAGATATAAACCTAAATGGCATTTCTTCTGGAAATTTTCCCCTGATTCCCAAAGCACCCTATTCATGTCCCAAGACGGCACTTCCCAGGCTGAACTGTAAATGTTGGATGTGTCGTGGTCTCCCTCACCCCAGAGGGAATTCCCTAAAGGCCGGGACCATATCTGTCTTAGTCCCTCCTGTTTCCTTAGCACTCAGCTCTACATGTGGCCAAAGTAAGTGTTCTATAAAGTATTTATTGAGTATATGAATCTTATTTTGGCCATAACATAATAACTTAATTTTATATCTGAAAAATGTTAATGACCATAATAATGCTAGCTGTTATTTACTGGTCACCTTATATATGCCTGGCACACTACACCTGTTAATCTCATTTAAATTTGGCAATAATTTACAATAATCGTCTTTTACTTGACCTCTCTAAACTTCCATATTCTCATCACTAAAATAGGTGTTAACAATTAGTATACGAATGACAACTTTTGTTACTCTTTACAGTTGAGACTTCCGAGGTCAAAGAAGTTACATAACCTGTACCAGGACACACAGTTGGTAAACTTACCAAACTTTTGTTGGTAAGCTGGAATTTAACCTTAAACTTTAATGATTCTCATTTATTATACTATATTTTAGGCCTCTCTTTCCCAGGTATAAATTCAAATTTCCATCAGTGTTAACAGAAAAATAAATAGCTCATTGAGATTAGCACCTGGGGGCAGAATCCGAACTAACCATCATCCCTTTGTATTCCTAATAGCATGGGTGGTGGAAAGAGAAAATATGTGACACTTGCCTAAAGCACAAAGTCCAACCCTAAAGAGTGAATGATTAAGTAAGAGTGAAATTGAGAAGATGCTCAGAAGAACTGGGAGGTACCGAAGGAGATCCCTACCATTCCACTTGTCAATACCTACCTAAACTCAGGCAACTTGCTCCTACTTTGGCAGGATGCCAGACTAGACAGTCAGTGAAATCCTAGAAAAAAATGGACTTGCAAAGTGTACTCACGGTAATGAAGACAAACTAAAACCAAATGAGGAACCATGAGCAACAACCAAAAGGTAAGGCAAACAAACATCCATTATATGTGGCAAAATGGAGGAAATGAACCTGAGACTCCTTATTAGTCCACCGTCAAAAAAAAAAAAGACTAGTGATTCCACATCAGTAGTACCCCCTGGTTTCCAGATTAATCAAATGCCAAAGCTTTCTAGAGAAAAATATACTCCACTTTAGGTCTTCAGGATAGCCAGTGGTGAACAACCATTAGGGGCTCATAATCATAGATACCCAAATGTGTAATAAAAAAACAAGTACCACAAGCAAGAGCCTACAGAAGAACAAATCGATTTAGAGCCCTAAGGATTCAGATATTAGAATTATCAACCACGGACTACAAAACTATGTATGACCACTTAAAGAAGCAACACGTGGGATCACAAAAATGGACATGCAACAATACACAAAATAGGCAAATATGTAAAGGCACAAAAATTGAACTTTTAGAAATTAAAAATTTAGTTGTTGAAATACAAAATCAATGGCTATTCAGGGATAAAAAGAAATGAGTTATTAAGGAGGAAACTTAAACGCATACTGCTAACTGCAAGATGCCAACAGGAAAAGGCTACATAATGAATAATTTCAACTGCCATTCTGGAAAAGGCAAAACCATGGAGATAGGAAAAGGATCAGTGACTGCTAGAGGTCATGGGGAGGGGAGAAGGATGAATAGCTGGGCAAAGGAATTTTTACAGCAGAGAAACTATTTTATATGATTCTGTAATGGCCAATACATCTTGTTATAAGCTAAACTGTGTCTCCCCTGCCACACTCAATATGTTGAAGTCCCAACCTCCAGCATCTCAGTGTGAGACCGTATTTGCTGAGAGGTTTGTTGTTGTTTTTTTTATGGATTTGGTGACAGGCTTTTTAAGTAGTAATTAAGCTCAAGTGAGGTTATTAGGGTGGACCCTAAACTAATATGTCCTTATAAAAACGTATTAGGACACAGGCACACATAGAGAGAAAACCATGCGAAGATATAGAAAGAAGGTGCTCATCTACAAGAAGAAACCAACCCTGCCAACCACTGATCTTGCCTGAACCTCTAGC